ATTTCCCCCCCCCCCCCGCCTTCCCCCAAAGAACAGACCATCATACGCATGGCTATATTGCTAGAGACGGATGCACAAAGGGAGGCGAAGGAGAGCGCGGGAGGGGCCAAAGCGCCGAATACTAAAGGGAATGTACTACGAAAAAACGAGAAATAGAGGGCGATCGGCATTTGCAAATACTGCTTGACCTTGTCGCCGCCACAGCCCATCAGCGTCTCATCGCAGCTGGCCAGCTCTGTGGCATGGCCGCTGGTTGTGCATGGAATTATATGGCGCTCGCCTGGGTTGGGTGGTGCCTTTTAGTGGGGGCCACTCACCCTAGTAAAAAGATATGCGATGAACAGCTGGAGGAGCTCAAAAATCAATGGAAGCGTGAACCAGGAGCCCCCCCCCGCAGCCTCAAGGGGAGAGTGCGCCAGCCTTATAACATGAAAGAGATGATAGTGTTGTCGGCGGCAGCGCCGAACTAGCTATAGGTAGAGGCGAGGGGGCACCTCGTGAGTGCGTGGATATATGAGCTTTGTGAACGTGGCAATGCAAAGGCTACCAAGTGGCTGAAAGCGGGCCAAATTTAGGCTTCGCTCGGCATACCCATGCTTGTAGTCGCTGCCGGTGAGTCGAGGAGGCCATGAGGATGCTCCTTAGGAAGCGCTTCGCGCAAGCGATTCTCAGATACTTACGCAGGTAACTGATCTTCTTGCCATTTGACGTAATATTCTTGCTTTCCACTATCTCTGCTCTTCTTTTCACGAGTATCCAATTGTCCCCTCGCGTGCATTTGTTCCATCGAGCAATGGCGTTCCTGCCGTTTAGTGGGGAGAATTCAAGGAAATTTCGGTTTCCCCCTCAGTCATTTCAGAACATCGGCATTAATGGTGTGACGACTCCTCCACGAGGCAGAAAGTCGGCGATGTATTGCGAACGGACAGCGGAGAGCCCTAACCCAAACATGACAAACTTCTTCGACTGCTCGCCACTTTGCGAGCTTTGTAGAGCATCCGGCCACTAGGACCAGTTCGGCATGATTCCAAGCAAGTACAGAATATGGACGGTAGTTGGTTCTTGTCTTTCGTTCCGGTGCCTTTTTTTCATATACTCCTACGATGCTGCCTGATGTGTATGGAACTCGGCAACTAATGACCTATCGTGATTGCTGCTAGCAACCAGCTCCAACGTCGGGGTCGGCTCAGACAACAGGGTTCTTGTGTAGAGCAGAAAGGCCAGAGTACGACGGGTCAAATATTACATTGTTGTAGGCGAGGACTCCAGGAAAGTGGGGGGGATCAAAGCGGTTTCTCAGGACTCTTATCTTCAGGATTTTCCTTCTCTTTCAGCACAACATTGTACTCGAGCATGAGCACTCTCGTTACGCCGCGCCTATCAAAACACTCGGTGTTTCTCACTGTAATGCTGCGGCTTTAGTCATAACGCTTTTCCCTACATTTGTCCGCTGATTCGTTCTTTCCAAAGTAACTTTTTGTCTAATGTGCACGGGGTGGAGATCCACCACCTTCAGAGTTCGGGTGACTGTACCAGCAGTTGGGACTTCCCGATTCCAGTTCGGTAGTTCTGCCCCTTTTCCTAGGGGCCTAAAGCTTCAATTTGGATGGACTCTGTTTAGACGGCTTTGACCCGCTTCATGTATTCGCAATTGCTCGGGCATGAGGCTCGTTTACCTTCAATTTAAGTGGAGTTTCTTGTTGTATGGAGTTCGCAAAAAGAGTCGTTTTCCGTGGAGTTTCTCCGTTTAATATTGCTTTCTTGCATTTGCAGAACGCAATTCTCTCGTGTGCGTGGCTCGAGTCTCCTCCCACAAGGACTTTGATGCCTTCTTCATTTGCGCGTATGCCTCTGACTGATAGTTGAATATAACTTCGGCCCAGATGCTTAAAGGAATATTCGCCCAGTGGCAGTATGTAGGTAATATTTACACTAGAACGCTCTA